TTCATCAGAAGAGGGAGAGCCCTTCAAATAGTCTAAACAAAAAGATAATATAAATTCATAATTGATTAATTTGAACCAGGTTCAACTAGTAGTTCCAAGCTCAATTGTGCAAAAGTGTCATTTTAACAACAAAAAATATACCCTGGCAAAACTATTCCTCTACCATATTAATAAAAATCAACTGTCAAGTAAAATCTAACAGTGAATGAATCCCAATACCTTGAACTTGGTCCTGAAGTATGTTACAGAGATCTTCAAACAGGAAAGTATTCTCATACTTCTTGATTCCCTTGAGTACATGAATCCAGTTCTCCTGGTTGATCTTGAAGCTAGAGACAACTTCAATAGAGGATATATCTGAACATAAAGATCAGACTGATCATCAATAGAGGATACATCTGAACATAAAGATCAATAAGATCATCAATAGAGGATATAAATGAACATAAAGATCAATAAGATCATCAATAGAGGATACATCTGAACATAAAGATCAATAAGATCATCAATAGAGGATACATCTGATCATAAATATCAAGAAGATCATTAATAGAGGATATATCTAAACATAAAGATCAATAAGATCATCAATAGAGGATATACCTGAACATAAATATCAATAAGATTATTAATAGAGGATACATCTGAACATAAAGATCAATAAGTTCATTAATAGAGGATATATCTGAACATAAAGATCAATAAGATCATCAATAGAGGATATATTTGAACATAAATATCAATAAGATCATTAATAGAGGATATATCTGAACGTAAACATCAATAAGATCATTAATAGAGGATATATCTGAATATAAAGATCAATAAGATCATGAATAGAGGATACATCTGAACATAAAGATCAATAAGATCATTAATAGAGGATACATCTGAACATAAAGATCAATAAGATTATTAATAGAGGATACATCTGAACATAAATATCAATAAGATTATTAATAGAGGATATATCTGAACATAAAGATCATTAAGATCATTAATAGAGGATATATCTGACATAAAGATCAATAAGATCATTAATAGAGGATACATATGAACATAAAGATCAATAAGATCATTAATAGAGGATACATCTGAACATTAATATTAAACAGATCATCAATAGAGGATAAATCTGAACATAAAGACCAATAAGATCATTAATATAGGATATATCTGAACATAAAGATCAATAAGATCATCAATAGAGGATATATCTGAACATAAATATCAATAAGATCATTAATAGAGGATATATCTGAACGTAAACATCAATAAGATCATTAAAAGAGGATATATCTGAACATAAAGATCAATAAGATCATGAATAGAGGATACATCTGAACATAAAGATCAATAAGATCATTAATAGGGGATACATCTGAACATAAACATCAAACTGATCATCAACATAGGATACATTTAAAAAATATAATTAAAAAAGATCATCAATAGAGGATACATCAGAACATAAAGATCAATAAGATCATTAATAGAGGATATATCTGATCATAAAGATCAATAAGATTATTAATAGAGGATACATCTGAACATAAAGATCAATAAGATCATTANAAGGATAACTGACAAAGAAAAGGATAACTGACAAAGAAAAGGATAACTGACAAAGAAAAGGATAACTGACAAAGAAAAGGATAACTGACAAAGAAAAGGATAACTGACAAAGAAAAGGATAACTGACAAAGAAAAGGATAACTGACAAAGAAAAGGATAACTGACAAAGAAAAGGATAACTGACAAAGAAAAGGATAACTGACAAAGAAAAGGATAACTGACAAAGAAAAGGATAACTGACAAAGAAAAGGATAACTGACAAAGAAAAGGATAACTGACAAAGAAAAGGATAACTGACAAAGAAAAGGATAACTGACAAAGAAAAGGATAACTGACAAAGAAAAGGATAACTGACAAAGAAAAGGATAACTGACAAAGAAAAGGATAACTGACAAAGAAAAGGATAACTGACAAAGAAAAGGATAACTGACAAAGAAAAGGATAACTGACAAAGAAAAGGATAACTGACAAAGAAAAGGATAACTGACAAAGAAAAGGATAACTGACAAAGAAAAGGATAACTGACAAAGAAAAGGATAACTGACAAAGAAAAGGATAACTGACAAAGAAAAGGATAACTGACAAAGAAAAGGATATCTGACAAAGGAAAGGATAACTGACAAAGGTGGTATCAAAAATAATATTTGGAATCCTCATGAGCTTTACAAAAAATGGTCTTCCATCTTTTTATCCTTCAAAACAGTTTGTTGTTGTTTAATAAATTAGAATTTGAGCTGAAAACTTTAGAAAATGAATCCCAATCGTGCGATCTCTGTATCCACTGTGGACACTTTAGATTTTCTGCTTAATTCTCTATTCTTGGATACTCCGACCAATGAGAGTGATGAAAAGTTAGTAAACAGATACAGATAAATTAGAATTAGGGAGAGACAGGGGAAGGTATTATGAAGGAGAGGGAAGGGGAATGGATAATGAGGGAGGGCCAAGGGGAAGGTAGAGAATAGAAGGAAGAAAAGAGGAAGATATGGTCATAGGGCTGGGCACGTTCCGACTTCCGTTCTGTTCTAGAACAAGGGCCTTCAGCTAAATCGTTCTGTTCTTGTTCCTCTTTTTTTATCGTTCCGTTCTTGTTCCGTTCCATCCTGTTCCGTTCCATTCTGAGTAGAAGAACGGTCTTCCCGTTCCGTTCCGTTCTTGGCATTCTTAGTTGAAGAATGGTTGCATCCCTCTTGTTCTGTTCTTAATCTGCTCTGAGTGTTGTCAGTTTATCAGAGACTGTGGAAGGGAGGGATGGCTGGTTTAAAGTGGGGAGGGTGGGTCAGGTAAATAAATCAAAAAATCTTTAACTATTTCTAGAGGATTTAGAACACATTCCTGAACACATTCTTGATAATAAGAACGCGTTAACGTTTTTTCACCGTTCTTTTCAAGCAATTCTTGTTCCGTTCCCTTCCCTTCTTTTACTAATCTTTCCAATATTTTTAAGAACGCGTTCTAAACATTCGTTTTTTTCAGAAAGTTGGTATTGTTCTTGATTGTTCCATTCGTTCTGGGGAAAGAACGATCATTCCACCAGGAATGCGCCCAGCCTTAGGTATGGAATTGAAGATAGGAAGGGTTGAGTAGGGAAGACAAGGGGAAGGTAGAAATGGGAAAGGTTTAGAAGGAAAATGTAAAGAAAAGAAAATAAGGATGGAAACAGATGTGATCACAAGTTAAGGGAAGCTTTCAGCAGTAATAAACAACTTTCTCCAAAAAAAATTTATATTATTTTTACAAAAGTCATAATTTTCCCCAACCAAGTATGATCATAAGTAAAAGAAATGAAAATGACTTGGATTTCAACATTTTATAGCTCTATGGAGAGCCTTGGACAAAACAAAACTGATTGCATAAATTTTTGCACAAAATTTTGTACAGACGCATAAAAAGTAAATTTTTACATATCTATTTTATATATTACAAACTTGTATAAAAATAAAACAAAAAATGTACAATCAGGCTAACCTGTGTCTGATCTGCTCCTTTTCTGAATCCAGTTTTTGACCCAGGAATAGAAATCTGTGTCATCAGATTCTTGAATATCATCCAGGTATTCATCAGAAGAGGGACAGCCCTTCAAATAGCCTAAACAAAAAGATAATATAAATTCATAATTGATTAATTTGAACCAAGTTCAACTAGTAGTTCCAAGCTCAATGCCAAAATGTCATTTTGTCAACAAAAATATACCCTGGCAAAACTATTCATCTAGCATATTAATAAAAATCAACTGTCAAGTAAATTCTAAAAGTGAATGAATCCCAATACCTTGAACTTGGTCCTGAAGTATATTACAGAGATCTTCAAACAGGAAAGTATTCTCGTACTTCTTGATTATCTTGAGTACATGAATCCAGTTCTCCTGGTTGATCTTGAAGCTAGAGACAACTTCCTTAATCAGGTTCCTGGCTCCACGTAGCTCATACTTGTCTCCCAGATAATACAGATCAAACAGATCATTAATAGAGGATACATCTGAACATAAAGATCAATAAAATCATCAATAGTTGATATATCTGAACATAAAGATAAATAAGATCATTAATAGAGGATATATCTGAACATAAATATCAATAAGATCATCAATAGAGGATATATCTGAACATAAAGATCAATAAGCTCATTAATATAGGATACATCTGAACATGAAGATCAATAAGATCATTAATAGAGGATACATCTGAACATAAATATCAATAAGATCATCAATAGAGGATTCATCTATAAAAAAGATCAAACAGATCATCAATGTAGGATACATCAGAACATGAATATCAAAAAGATTATCAATGAAGGATACATCTGAATGTAAAGATCTAGATAGCGTCAATGGTTCAACTGACCTGTAATAACTGACTCATCTCCAGTGTATAAGAACTGGATCAGGGTCTGGAAACTAATGAAGGATGGTTTAACTGACCTGTAATAACTGATTCATCTCCAGTGTATAAGAACTGGATGAGGGTC